ACCCTCCGGAGAGCCGGGCACCGGCACCCCCCTGCTCCCCGTGCCATGTGCACATGGGTGTGCAACCTGTGTGCAACCTGTGTGCAACCTGTGCGCAACCTGTGTGCATCCTGTGTGCATCCTGTGTGCATCCTGCACACCGCCCTGTGCCCGGGAATGAGGAACTGCCCCGGCCCCAGCCCCAGGGGATGGGCAGGAGGGAAAGGAGCCCAAATTCCTGCCGTGTTTCCAAGGGGATGGGAACAAGTGGGAATGGGGGCAGAGCTGCCTCTGCCAGGTGCGTGCGGGGTCCCCCCGAGCATCCTCACATCCCTCTTCCCCACGGATCGAGGGGCTCTGGCTCCGTGTGGCCCAGCCCTGGACATCTCTGACGTGGAGCATCCCTCATCCCACGGCCCTGCAGCTTCCCTGGTTTCCAAGCTCCAGCATCCTGCGAGGCCAGAACCCTCCTCCCAGCAGAGCTGCTTAATTAAAATCATCATTTCCATCCCGAGGTACAGCCAGGCACCAGGACCCGGCTCTCCCCACATCCTGCACACCACGTGGCCATGCTGGACTAACCCTGGGTGATTCCTGCTCCCAAAAGCAGCTCCCAGAAACCTTAAAAAAAAACCCCATGTTAAACAAATAAACACCAAAACAATAATTTCCCCTCCAAATTTTGAGATTTTTCCTCCTTTCCCCCAGCAAACCCAGGGCTGTGCTGATCAATCCCCAACAATCAGCCCCATCATAAGGTTTTTCAGGCTCCGGAGTGGCTCATGCTGCTTGAGAGATATAATTGAGGCTTAAAAAAACCCACAAAAAATAATAAAATAAGTGAAATCCAGCTGTGGTCCAAGCAGCTGGTCATACCCAGCAGAGCTCTGGCTGTGCCAGGTGATGATTCCTGGCAGGATTTACCTGCTGGGGAGGAATTTCATCGTCTCTCAGTGCTGCTTGTTGTGACCTGAAATGGGAGAGAGGAAAAATGGGGCAAGGAAAGAGTAAATTTGATGCTCGTGGGAAGCATCATGTTGGAGCCAAGCTAGGAATGAAAGGTCCTGGATCCCCAAAAGACCCTCCAGGAGGTGTCATGGAGGAGCCAGAGGGGGGCTCAGCACCCTGGGATGGGCGCTGGATGCAGGCACAGCACCAGGGGTGACTGAACCCCCCAACCTGCTCCCGTGCCTCAGTTTCCCCCCAGTCAGGGGATATTTGGTGCCACCAGGGTGGAAGCACAACCTCGGGGTGGCCCTGAAGGGCCCCCTTTGCCCCCAGCCCTGTCACACTGTGTGAGGATGGTGGGAGGGAGGGGTACAACCCTCAACCCCCCCAGCAGCCCCCAGAGCTGTGACCACCTCGAGCTGGGGGTGTCAGGCACCCGTAGGGCCCCGGGGAGGAGGGACAGCACCCAGCCCTCCCCCATCACCCCCAGCTCACCCTGAGGGTGCTGTGGGGCTCCTGGTGGGGGGACAGAGGAGCAAAGCCCCCAGTTTGTGGTTGGAGCCCATCCCATCCCCACACGGCCACGTGCAGCACCCCCAGCCCGGTTTGGGGGGGTCTGTGATCCACCAGCACCCGGAGCCTCCCCGAGCCCCCACTCTGCTCGCCTTGGACTGGGGGAATGGAAATAAAACCCCTCCAAATGCCCAACCACCTCCACCTGGGGCACAGGGACGGCCAGGTGCTCCTCATTCCCTCCCAGCACCCCGACCCCCCCATCCCCCCATCGGTATGAGCCTTGTGTTCTTCTCCATAGCAACCCCCCCGATCCCCCCAGCCCCCCCCGATCCCCCCCAGCCCAGCCCTGACCCCGCTCACCTTTCCCACCCACAGGTACCTGCGCCCCCCGCGCCCCCCCCCCGCCGCCGCCGCCTCCATCCTCCCCGGCTGGAAGTTGGTGGATTTCTGAATTTTACGTGTTTTCTCCTTATTTTCCTCCTTTTCTCGCTCCTTTCTGGCGTTGATGCTTCTCCCATCCATCACCAGGAGTCTCCTGCAATTCCTGCGCACCCCCCCTGCCCTGCAGAGCCCCCGCGGGTCCCCAAAGTGCCACCAGGCCCCCAGTGCCACCCGTCCGCAGGCAGCAGCACTGGGGTCACACCACACCCCGGCTTGTACCAAAATTCGGCTTTCTTGGAGCAATTCCCAGCTTAAGGCGGATCCTGGCACCCCCCCGGATCCAGGGAGGGTCAAACCCCTCCAGCGCCCGCCCCCGGCACAGCCAGGCCGTGCTCCCCCAAAAAAGAGAAGCAAGAAAGCAGCGGGCATCGCTCAATATATAGGTTTCTTTTTAATATAAAAAAAGTGCCTATTAAAAATTCCTTCCTAAATAACACAAAAAGATCGTTTGAGGGGCAAAGCGGGGGCCGGGGGGGGCTCACGGGGGGCCCCTCGGGCCAGGGCAGCACAAGCACTGCACAGGGCAGCTGGGGGGGCGGGGGAACGACGGGGATTTTGACCAAATTCGGGGATTTTTCCTTTTTTTTTTTTTTTTTTTTGTGAATTTTGCCTTTTTTTTATCCATTTCAGGGTGGTTTTCTTCTCTTTGTGTGTGTGTGTGTGTGTTTT